AGGACGGGGCGATGACGTCGGTGCACTGGGGCTCGCAGAAAGGCCCGAAGCGGCCATAAATGTCACGGGCACGGACGGCGAAGTAGTACTTGGACCCAGAGACGAACTGGGTGAGCGTACAGGCCATGGGCAGTGCTAGTGCCTTCACCTCACCGATCTTCTTCCACTGCGAGGCCGGAGAGGCCGGCCCATCCTGGTGGTAGGCATACAGGTGGTAGCTGTCCACTGGGGCACAACTGCGATCGACCTCGGAAACAGACCAAGATAGCACGATGCCGTTCTGGCTCTGCACCCGCGCCAACTTCAGCTGCGGCTGCTGTGGCAGGGAAGTGTGACTCGCCTCTGGGGGGAGACGGGCTGGCGGCGACGGCGGGGGGGGCAGCGCAGGGATGGCACTTTGGCTAGCCCCAGATGTGGACGCTGGGCCCGAGGTGGCATTGGTGTACTTCTTAGACTGGGACTCCTGGGAGGGATGAAGTGGAAACACCTTCAAAAGCAATTATCACGGAATCAGATGCAAAAGAAACGTATATAAAGAACAAGCAAAAAAAAAAAAAAAAAACACAATTTAAGAGTGACGATAAAAACTAACAGAAATTTATACTGTTCTTCAAAAAAATTACTGATATCTTCTTGGACGGTTAGATGAACACGGCTTCGGTTCCCAAACCCCTCCTCAGGGGCACCCCAGTCATTCTATGTATTTGTTAAATTTCATCGCCAGCTCGATCAATCAAATCAAGTTGATTGTAAAAAGCCAATGAAGTATCGATTAGCCAAACGTGGCGCGCTAGTGGTCAAGTCAAAAAATACTTGGGTGCATTGGATCGCTGTTGCAAATACTGGGGCGACTTTAGGAGTGGTTTTGAATACGGCTAAGCCAACACACTTTGACAGAGATAATATGAGTTTTACATCAACATGCAGGTCACCATTCTCGATCCCTGCCTAAGACTTCTGTTCAGTGCTGCATATATCTGAATAACAGAGTGACTGTCGAGGCTGATTTTGCTAGTCAGGAATGAGCAGATGACTCCATACCTGCTGAGGACGGTGGTGCACGGTCAGCTGGGGTCCATTGGCCATGTTTTGACCCTGAGGAGACGATCTCACTGAAACAGGGAAGATGACAGCACTGCTGAAGTCGGGAACACGTAGACACCCCCCCACGCTCATCTCACAGCTTGGTGTCACACCTGTCTCACGGTCATGCCCTTTTCTGTGCTAAGGCTCCCAACATCCCCAGCTGTGTCACCAGTCCTTCCTCTCAGCACACCAGACCCATCCCTGCACGCTCCCACCCCCTCAACTTAGTGCCATTTCAGTACAGTGCCCCCCACCCACTCCCATTTTCCCAGCATTTGAATGGATGGGTATACCAGCTTGCTGCAAATGGGCACCACCACTCAGGCTGGGCAGGGCCCCGGGAGCCCGGTGGGCAGCCGGTGACGTCATGGGGGGGTGTCCCGGCTGCATGGGGGCCCTCTTCACCCCAGTCACTGCCAAAAAAGACAGCACCGTTATAAGCGAAGCTCGGCGGACGGAACAAGAAAACGTGGCTGGAGCGCTAGGAGAAGTAGACTCACCTTGGACGTCATCATCATCCTCCGTCAGGTCTATGACTGCACCGGAGCTGCTTGCCCGAGGCACCTGTGGGGAGAGCGGCACAGAACACGAGATTAAGCTCGAGGCAGATGTGCGCCTCCTACGGTCACATGGCCAGCAGCATGATGTCAGCAGGGATTGCAAAGATACACGAAGGGTCGGGGAGGTGAGGCGTGACACGGTACTGCACCTGCGCAGGCATCTTTGCTGCGGCGGGATCGGCGGTGCGGCTTGTGGTTTGACCGTCTGATGCAGAGAACAAAACGGACACAACATGAGGGGCGCTCAGGGGCAACCACGAGGCATGGTAGGCGGGGAGAAACCTGTTAAGATGGAGGAGGGGGGCTGGAATTCTGAGCTGCGTTTACCTGTTTTAGAGGCCATCATGGCTACCGAGACAGGGCCCGCAGCCACCAGCCCGGGAGTCTGGCCTCCCGTTGCCGCTGGGGCTGAGGAGGGCGGCAGCGATGATGCCGACGTGACTCCCACCACAGGGGCGCACTGAGCAGGTGTGCGGGCAGAGGAAACAGACACCGCGGGGCTAGGCACGCCGATCAGGCCGCTGCCGCCTGAGTAGACGGCCGCCCGCGCCACAGAGATCTGGGGTAATGAGGCAGAGGGGGTCGCCGACAAGGTGGACGAGGCGGCTGCCGTGGTCTTCTGGAGGATATAGGTGGTGCCAGGAGTGCTGGTTTTGGCCTTGCCAAGTGCGTTGGCCCCACTGAGGGTTGACATGGAGATCAGCTCCACGCCAGAGCTGTGGCCAGCTGGTATCGGCCCAGCCTGGGATCCGCTCATAGCCAGGGGGAGCTGGATGAGTAGCGGCTGCAGGGACACAGACTGAGGGGTGGAGCAGGGTATCCCCGAGGGCATCGTGGGGATGGTGGGGGCAGGTTTGGGCACAGGGGGTGGCGCAGGCCGATTCTGCACAGGAGGTAACACCGCGCTGGAGACAGAGGTAGAGGGGGCGGAGGTGCTGGAGGTCGTCGTGGTGGAGCAACCAGGGCCTCGGACCAGGGAAGTGGGGGTCGTAACAGAAGGGAGCAGCTTGCGCTGGTTTGGGGAACCTGAGGGTGTTGAAGAATGAGATACAAGGTGTTTGTGTGCTGGGGAGAGGGCTGGTCAGAGGCCATCTCAGAAGAGTCGGGTGACTGAGATTCTCTCCCTCTCTCTCTCACACTAACACTCACACTAACACTAACACTCACACTCAAACTAACACTAACACTCACCTGCATAGCTGACGGGACCCGGAACAGAGTTCTGCTGCTCGCCTCTCTGACACTCCAGCATCATCCGGACAGTGGTGCTGATGGGGGGGGGGAGGGGGAGGGAGACGCGAGGTTATAGGAGGTGGGGAGGAGCAAGGGAAGTAGGGAGAGTGATGAGGGAACCCTCTGGGAGATGAACACTCGACGGCACTGCCCTTATACAGGGAGGAGCCGGGCCCGTACTCAGGGCTGCAGGGAGGCAAGCCAGCTCACATGGGGCACGAATCACGCAGCGAGTGACACGCAGCGAGTGACACGCAGCGAGTGACACGCAGCGAGTGACACGCAGCGAGTGACACGCAGCGAAACCCAGCGGCCCATATGAAGACCCGCCTGGTTCTAACCTCCCAGGCAGCACTGGGCTAGACCCTGGATGGGATGCCAGTCCATTATAGGGCATGAGGCTGGGCTACACCCTGGATGGTACACATACGCTCCTTTATGGCCAGTTTACAGACTAGTTAGCTTAACGTTTTGTCTTTTGACTGCATGAGGGAACCTGTGCAATACGAGAACAAACACACACACACACACACACACACACACACACACACACGTTTGTATTTCTGTCATTATGAGGACTGTGAAAAACTGTTGACAAAGGGAGGGCCCGGGTTTTCAAAATGGGTCAAGAAGCTTTTTACCTCTGGAGGGCTTTTTACCTCTAGACTTGCATCTTCAAATTAGCACGTTAATGGGAACACCAGTCTGCGTCATGAACTATCCAAGTAAGGGCCCTGTGGTCACTATGCGAGAACTGAGGTCAGTCATTAAAGAAAGTCACACACACACTGAAATGCTAACATTTAATTTGTGCAAACATTAGCATCAACTATAAAATTGACGCTCAAGAATGGCACTTTAAAAGGCTTCAGAAAGGTGGCACACAGAGTAAGTGTTATGATGTTTCAAGACAAACAGCAAAACAACATGGATACAAAAACAATCCACTGAATCGGCATGCATTTATAAATAGAGAACAAGCCAAGCCATTAATAAAAATGAATAGTTTTTAAACTACTTTAAAAAAATAAAGTCAGTTATCTGTCAACCACTGTTCACTTAGTCTTCCTAAGGTTTCTCCTTCAGCAGCCTGAGCTGACATCATGACCTAGAGTCCCTGCATCTTCTCTATGCAAACTCAAGTTCTGCTTCCCCCACCTTGCTGTTGTAATCGCAGATAAGGGTGTTCTCTCTCTCCAGCTTCTGTGGCTAAGCCCTGCTTCAGCCAACAGACACACATTTTTATGCATCACCACATTCTGCTTCATACTGTTTTAGGCTTTTGCTTTCTAAATTTATATGCTACTGATATTTTTGTATTTACTTTTACATTTTCTTTTCTGTCTGAATCCATTTCTGTATTGGATTTGTTTTTTGTTTCATGGTTCCATGTTATGTCTTTTTTCCTCTATTGGACGTGCTTTTGATTTTGTCGAACTGAGCAGCACTTTGGTCAGCTGGGACGGCTTTTAAATGTGCTACATAAATTCTGCCTTTACAAGAATCACGCTCACTCTGGCACTATCAAAACAGAAATAAATTTGCTCAGGTGTTTGATCCTTATTTGTTCACGGCCTTCTTGTCGCCTTTTCTAAAAAGCCAAAATGAAATGCTTTGTTCTATTGATAATATACTCCAATAACAGTGACTGCTGCAGCGTATATGCAATGGCCTGTGTACTTGTGAAAATTTCAATCCAGTGACATTTAGCACACATTTCATTTTAGAACCAAAAATGCATTAACATTTCTCAACATAAAATATGGTCCTATCTGTTTTTTCTAATCTACGTTGGTGACATAACACAAATTGTAATCTGGGAGCAAAAATGACCTAATATGAAAATGATAAATTTTGCTTACTTATTCAGCATTTACAGTGCCAAAACTACAGAGGATTGGCTGAAAGACTTCACTCTTTGGCTACTGGACACACCTCAGACATCTGACCTTCTGTGTCTTAACACACACACACACACACACACACACACACACACAGCACGACAGTCATGGTTAGGTATATGTTACTATGTATACACATATACAGATGCAAACATTTTTTTTTTTCCTGAAAGGAGATCAAAAAGCTGGTAAAACTGCATTCAAGGATGGCTTTTTAAGATTCAGATTCAAGATTTAAAGGTTTATTGTCATTCCTACACATCAGCACACTATGCAACGTAATGGAACAAAACGTGGTTTCCGCGGGTCCCGGCGCACAGTACAAAAGCAGAACAACAGAATGAAAAATAACAGATAAAGGAAAATACAGCAAAATATAAAAATACAGTTAATATACACTAAAAGTAGAATGTGCACTGAAAGTGACAGTGCAGTCTGAGATATACAAGGAGGGCAGCAGGAACGCTGTGTGACAATGAGTGCAAAGTTGGGCTGTGCATAGTGGTGACGTCCACGTTTGTGTTGGGGGGGGGGGCGCTTATAAGCTGTAGAGGTTTTAGTCCTGATGCTGCTTCGCCTCCTGGATGAAAAGGAGGCGCATGGAGCGCGTGCAGAGAGGGTGAAACCTCTTAGGATGCAGAAGGCTGTTCTCCTGCAGACCATTATTACCTGACTGGTGGGTGGACTGGACACCCAGTGAAATGAACATCAAAACAAACCGTCTCCTTAAGCTCTAGTCTCATCATCACTGTCACTATCTTCTGCACAGGAAAATTAATTTCAAAAAGTGCACAAGGGATGTAAAGAAACAGATGTTTCTTAATGTAAAATGACAGACTTCATGCTTTAGTGTTTTTCAACATTGTCCAACATTATAAAGCTACAATCGACAAATTGCATTTTCATTACACAGCTGTAAACATTTTTCAGATCAGTAGCAAGCACTTGTCTAGGATCTATCTGATAATTATAGTTTGTTACTCTAAACTCTAGGGTACAGATAGAAATGTGACTTGGATAATGAATCAAAAATGACAGCCAGTCAACGAAGACATTAACTGAGTTACACTATCATTCACATTTGAATATTATGGAAATTACTACTGTATTTTAAATACTATTCTTATGTATTACCTTCAGCTGAAAGATTAATTTCATCCAAAGACCTTCCTTTGCATGTGCGTTTCTGTTCCAGTTTCGTAAGGCTGTTGTATGCATCTGTGTTTACTGGGGCAGTGCTTCGAGTTTCGTACATTTTGAGTAGCATTTCGGCATTTTCACCTTCTCTTCTCTTACTATGAAGTATGACTTCAACCAGCAGTGCCTCACATAAGCCCCTCCAGGCTGATGGACTAGGGTTCTTTTCTAGCTCCTGCTTTGCATTTTCCTCAGTCTTTCTCTGGAAGTTTCTGGAGATGAGACATGTTCCGTAAGAGGGATGACGTCCAGCTATTTCCACTTACTCTGATGAAGGGAGGAGGCACGGCTAGACAGACAAGCCCTCCACTGTGCATCGTAAAGCTTGATAAAACTCTTTGCTCTTTTTTCTGTTTCTTTGTCTTCTGCCAGTAAAGCTTCACCCACTACAATCTCAGCACATTTCTTCAAGGAATATCCAATTTTGCGGACCAAAGATGGTACTATAAACCTTTTTTTAGCAGCATTAAATCCACTCACTCTTTTGACACCATCAATGACGAGTCTGAATCTGGATGGCACAATTAAATCATGAAGTCTTTTCACTCTGCTTTCAAGCTGACCTACTGCCATGACTAACCTTGCAAGTTGTCGCATTTTTTGACCAATGTATGCACGCTGTGTGTCTTGGTTATGCACATAAAGCATTTTCCCATATTTACATATTAACGCATCACTTTTGGCATGTTTAGAAATGTCATCAGGTTGCATCTTCAGCAGTATTTTTTTGTACTCTTCATCATCTTCATCATCTTGTAAAGGAAGAAGATACACGGATGCTGCCTGGACTTGCTTTTTTATACAAGACATGGAATCTACCTTAAGTCGGCAGGAACATTCATGTTCCCAAAGGTCCTTCTTCAAGATAAAACAAAGACAGTGCTGACAGGGAAGGTAACCATTAGAAGGTGCACTGGTTGAAGGCTGTTTCCAAGTGACAAGTTCACCACAACCCTCATTGTGAACTCTGATGTTATGGCAGTAGTCACCCCTGCTGCGAAGCTGTTCAAGCAATTTCCTTCTAGAGTTTGAACCTTTTCTAAAGCTCAAAGCATGTGCCACATCTGCCTCTTTTGAGTGCCATCTTTCAAGATGACGAGCTATTTTTGTATTTGATTTATGACAATAAACACAGTAGTGTCTTTTGTCCAATTTCTTTGTTGTGCTAGTTTGTTGCAGAGATACTGATTTTTTACTAAAGTGTCCAGCTGTAGGTGGGTGAGAGTTCAAAGTAGTACAGTCACGATCAAAACATTCTGAAGAGGAGTCAGACTTATTGTCGGATGCTTGGTATTCAGACATGCTGGAGACCGACTCTTCAAATTCTTCCTCCAAATCATGATCTGCACCACGCTCTGATGTGTCTCTGGTGTCTGATGAATTTCTGTGTGTGTTTTCATCTACAACACTAGCAACTCCATATTCCATTTCAGATTCAGATTTTTTTCTGACATTGACCTAAAGTGACAAACACATTCAATAAGCATTTGGACTGAATGAATACTTAAAGTCACACACATTCAACAAGTTTTTAAACAATTTTTAACAATCTGGCTTAACATCAAGAATTTCAAATTTTGATAGCAAAACAGGTATTTCTAAATTAACTCAATTACTGATATGAAAAACGCCTTTTTACATTAGTGATGCTTAGTGATTAATATGATGGGCATTTACTGACTACTTTGACTGAAATTTTAACTATTTCAAAAATATGTTACTGCAATGGGTTTGTCCCCAGCCTTGTGCCCTAGGCTGCCGCGGATAGGCCACCTGTAACCCCAGATGGAATAACAATTAGATAATGGATAGATGCCTAGATGAAAATGTCCGTAAATGTTTACATGGCTTCCTATATATTCCAGTTTTGTATTAAATATTGGGGCTGTCAATCGATTAAAAAAAGCAAATAATAAAATCGCACATTTTGCAACAAATTAATCGCGATTAATCGCATATTATTCGGGTATAATGAAGTATAAATGGCATTTTTAGAAACTTAATGTAACAGCTTAATAGGGTGTAATAATGCTTACTCTTCATTCAGATGACACATCATTCAGACTACATGTCAAGACTAGTAAGTTGTATTTACAGTTACTTACTGTTTTTTCGGAATATATTTTTCCAATGATTTTAAAGTATGCAATTGCGCAGCGGTATAGGCACTCACACCACACACAAGGTAACTAAAAATATCGAGAAACGTGAGGGGAGGTAAGGCCTCGGGGTCACAAATCAATTCCTCTTTTGGGATTTCAAAAGGATCCATGCTTCCGATATATATTTTTCAATATAGTTTTTCTTAGCTTCTGGTAGGAGTTGGTCTCTATACAATCCCTTTTCTTTTGGAAATTTTAAACATGCTAACAAAAATCGCACAGCATAATGAACAGTGCTGAGACAAGTTGGCCAGTTTATTTTACTTCATGGCTACACATTATGGTGGTTCTGCCCCACATTGCACTGTGTGATGACGTTGGTTGCCCCATAATGCACTGTGTGATGACGTTGGTTGCCCCATAATGCACTGTGTGATGACGTTTGGTTGCCAAGCTCTATTGTCTCTGGCTTGGACAAGTTTTGCGGCATCCACGTCAAAGGTCAGCTGTGATAATTCTGTTCATTTATTTTAATGCATTAAATATTTTTAATTAATTGCAACGAATAACACATTAACGCACTTGACAACCCTATTTTATATAGAAAAATACACAAATCCCTCCACTCCCCAACCACGTATCTTGTACAGGGTCACGAGTGGCCTGGAGCCTATCCTAGATAGCCTAGGGAGCAAGTCAGGGGACAACCATACAGCTGTATATTTAATTAAATTACACACACACACATACACACCAGGACATACAGACAAACACACCAATATTTAGTATATTAATATATTATACATATGAACACATTTAATTCACAAGGCAAAGAAAAACGTAAAAGCTCACCTGCCGCAGTTTTTGATGATGAAGTTGTGAAGTTTCGGGTCTTAACGGCATACATGCACGTTCAGTAAAGATGCAGGCATTTACTTCTACCCTGGCCCCACGCTCCACCCTGTTTCTTAGCAACGACCATACAATGTATGATTTGAGAGGTGCAGTCAGTTAAGGGGCCTTTATGCTTCTTCACGTTTGAGAGTGTTCATTTCAAAACCTGTATTTTCATACTTTAAATGGACACCACTGCTTTTCATTCAGTAGTAATAATAATACTGATTTACCACAATGGTAGTATGTTTGATTAGATATTTCAAGTAAACTTAGCCTGCATAATCCGAAGGATATCATTTCAATAACTGAAATAAGTTTTTAAGAATACGATTTTCAAATGTTTACTATCCTTCATGTTTTCTTCTCCAGATTTTCTTTAATTTATGTGTAATAAGTTAAATCCAGTAGCAGACTTACTTGAGTAAACATCAGATCAAATGGCAGACATCTGGTCATTACAGACAAGGTGAAAGTCAGTGAGAAATTGTCAGTAGCCTCTAGACACAATTTACTGAGAGCCGGGTTTAGGACCTCACTTTGCAAACGGGCTTCACTCTGAAGGTGTATTTCGTAAGTTGAGCCTCACAATGATAGAAATATAAAAACACAAAAACACGCACACACACACATACACGCGCACACAGCGGAGGTAGGAACTGCCCCCCTCCACCCTGGAGGTGTGATCTGACAGTGTTACCAACAGAGCTGTTGTGCCCCCAACAAAAAAAACAACAACTTTAAAAAGCACAAAGTCTAAGCTGCTTCTCAGTCCTAGTAGTCAGATATTAGGCCCTTGGTTTCTTGAACACCCTGGATGACCAACCTAACAATTAATTACTTAAAAATAAAACTAACAAACAGGTGCCTGGTTCCCTTAATGTATTAATCATATATTATCCAGGCATCATGGTGCGAAAGGAGGAAAGGGGCCCTTACCGGCAGGTGGGGGCCGTGCTGGAGGTGGGTGTGGTTGCCATGGTAGCAGTAGCTGCAGGGGGAAGGGCCGCCTAAGAAAAAAGGATGGAGGTTTGTCTGACTGGCACCTTATACGCAAGATCTGCCGACAAGAGTGTGAAGCTCGGGTCTGAAATCTCACAAAAATGCGACAACTGAGGAAAAAAAAAAACTCACTAAAAGATGTTTGGTGTCCGCAGTAAAAATGCTACACAGCTCTCCAGTGAAGCTTTACAAAAATTATATCACAGATATATTTTATTTAATGGACCTCTGTGTGCTTTATAGCTCCCCAGGTGGCATGCCAGTGTCTGGGACCTTCGCTCCCATCCACTCACCTCCTGAGATTTACTGGTGCTGTCCTTCGCTTGGTTGGCAGCTCCGAATTTCTTGGTGAGTCGCGCGATCTTGGCCTGCAAGAGGAATGCAGACACAGGCTTACTTTACAAGGCTCGCCGCAGTGGGGCGGGGCTCAGGTGTTGCGTGGGAGTATACCTGCAGAGTGTTGAGAGTGTGCTGATGCTTGGTGGCACAGTCGATGCGCTCCACCCGCTCTCGTAGCTCCTGTAGGCTCCGGTCGAAGACGGTGAGCTGCAGAACCCGGAGCTGCTCCGTCACCAAGTGCTGTACCACCTGTGGACAGGGGGGGGCAGCATACAGGCAGAGTAAGGGGGTGCTCTCAAGGCCCGATTGGCATAAGTGATAAACAGATCAAAAAGGACGTAGAAGAGGGAGGTCACCATATGGAAGACTGAACCTGGAAAACCTCTTCACTGCCTCGCCCCCTAGTGACCCCTTCCAGGCACTGCGCTCGTGCTCACCTTCTCCAGGCGCTGTCGGCTTCCTGGCTTCCCGCTGATCTTCAGCTCTAGCTGGGCCTCCAGCTCCTCCCCCTCCACCCGGGATTTCTTCTCCTCACTCTCCTCTGCCACACCCCCTCCATCCCGCTCTCCTCCACTCTCCGTGGGCCGCGCTCGCTTCCGCCCAGAGCCTGCGCTCTCCTCTACGTCTGATGAGTCACATGACATCACATCCAGCTCTACTATTAACAATTAGCTGACGGCAGCCTTTACAACACAATTGCTGCTTTACTCACAGATCACAGGTATATTTAGCTCACAGTCCCTTAAGAGTTACTCTGCCCGCTCCTTTTAAACAAACAAGCTCATTGTCACATCTTTTATCAGTTGGATGGCAGGAAACCATACCAAAATGGCTACATCTTATTTATGATTATCATTAATAACTGGAATAAATGAGGACCCATTCTGTGCTCACAGTTTACTTCATGTGCCTTTTATTCTCACTTTTATAGTTCACCATAAAAAATCAAAGTAAGCTGACTCCCAGTGCACCAAAGCAGCTCACTGGCTAGACAGATCCCTCATGACAATTACCTCTCTCTCCAAGTGGGGATGCTGTACTGGGGGGCAGAGAAGGCTTGGCAGAAACTTCTGGATTTTCCCCTTCAACTCCCTTACTGTCCATCTCCATCTTTTCTTCATCCTGCTCCCCTTTATCTCCATCTTCCTTCTCTCCCTGGCTCTCCTCCTCTTCGCTCAGGACAAGAAACCCTTCCTTTACCTCCTGGTCAGACTCAGGGGCATGGGATGGGGACAGAGAAGGGGAGGAGGAGGTGATGTTTCCAGGGGCGAGCGGGGACTGCGGCTGCGAGGTGGCCAGCATGGAGGCGCCACTATCCAAATCCGTCTCCATGCTGCCTGTCGGCTTAAGCCTGGTGTCGCCCCCTGCTGCTCCCCCTGCTCCCCCGCAGGCATCCTCAGAGATCTTGAGGGGTGCATCACTGCCAGCTTGTTCGAGCTTGTCAGCCAGCAGGGGACTGGTTTCTGTTTTGGAACCATCATTCTGGAAAGAAATTCCAACATTTAGGCAGTGAACAAATGTTTGCAGTCCACATTCAGAACTTCCTATAAGCGCCTGAACTCATCTCAACTCTCCGACAGTGTTATTCTGACATCTCTTCCCCCCCAACACACCTCATTTTCAGCGTCGCTCTTTTCCTTCGACGCGTTGTTCTCCTGCCCACCAACCCCCATGGTGTCTCCTTCAGCATCCTCCATTTCTCTTCCAGCGCCGGCCACCGGGGACGGTGCCGTAGTCACGGCCACAGAGACAGAGGAGTCCGAGCCGGAGGCCACGCCCTCCCGGTTCTCCTTGTCATTCTCGGCCTCTGCCTGAGCCCCCTCGGGGTGCTTGCCGTTCACTGGTGGGGGTGTGTTGGAAGGAGACGACCGAATGTTGTGGAGGGACTCCAGCTGCTGCCGGTCGCTTAGCTTCATCGTTTTTCTGGCCCTGAAGACTTTCTTCTGGGGCTCTTCTGCTATGGCCACATTCATGCTTCACCTTGAGGGGAGAAGAAAAGGTTCACCACCACCGATTTAGCACACACTCCAGAGGGGATGATGAATCAGCAAGAGAGGTGAGGTGTAGTTGATATGTACATGCACCAGGGGGCGATCTCTTACTGATAATGTCTTCCATTCTACAACTTTGTTTTAAAGTAAAACAAGTCTACTCAAATTCATTCCATTTCCAGTGTATATTTCACATAAAAACCATAGTTATATATATCGTTCTTAAAATAGATACTATCCATTGATTGTTCCATTCAGCCCAGTTAATGACAGTGTATTTAATAACAGGATCCAGTTGATTCAATGAGAATTGTGAACAGTAAATTAGATAAAGCTGAAAAGCATCTCTTGGATTTTTAATGAAGGAGGATAGATAATCATATTTAACTGATACGAACAAACGAAAATGTTCCATTGCACAAAACTGCTGGGGCGCAGTAATAGTCTGACTCCTCCCCCTACGCTCTTATTGGTTCTCTCTGTAGAGCCAATCACTGAACATACCTACCAAGTCTGCCCAGTAACAAAGATAATGATAACGATTAACCAAATTTTCCATTGATAGGGATGTTTAGTTATTCTAATATGTGCATACTGTTTTGCGACAATAAGCAACACCTTTTAATACTCCTTTCTGGACTCCAGAACTCCAGATCCACAGTGGATATGACACTCACCATGTTAAAAATGGTGTTTAACAACATGAAGAGATACTAAGACAACATAATGCTTTTTACGAAGTGTGAGTTATTACATTTACATATTACATTATACCATCACTAACCGTGCTACTCAAATGGTATAACATGGACACGACTGATCAACATGTTTATTTTACCAGTCTCCCTACCTGTGTGAATGTAGGATGACTCTGCTCATGGGTTCAAGGAGGGAAGATGTGGTGGACCTAAAGAAGAACGCGTAAATCTGCATTAGATAGACAGCAGCCCAGTTGAAGCCATTTCTATGCTGAAAAATGGGTCAGCTGATTTTGAGTAATGGTTACGGTTCTTGTGGGGCCCTGTGGCCCAAACGACGGTCCCAGTGCAGCTCAGCAGAGAGTGATTCCAGCAAGGAAAATGCCCCAAAACCAAGCTGCAATACGTCCTAGTGGCACCAAAGTGTGGAGTCATAAGCAAACACCTCCTCAGGGGGAAAACAAGGAAGACGATGCCTCACGAGTCACCTCTTCCAAGGACAGAAGAGCATTGTGGGTCAAAGTCCACAGAAACAACCTGCATAATCAGTGTGCAACGGGTGGTCCATCACCAATATCAATTTACTACAGCATACAGGAATGTTCAGGCTGCTTGAATTTGAATTCAGCTAGCCGACTTGTACGTAATACACTACTAATACATTATTTGCCCCCAGCTTTACACAACCTTCTCAAACGATTACCCCAGACCTTGTCGTTTAGAGCAATTTAACCACTGGCATGCAAAAACCTACAACTGTGAAATTGTGTGCTGTCTATTTATCGTCCTGTCTATTATTGTTTGTATTGTATTTGTTTCTGATTCTGTTACTGCACTTTGCAGTGTCTTATGTTGGGGTAAATCCTGCCAACTGCCTTGTGCAACTGCACAAATCATACAAAGTTTACATCTGCACAAATTTATTATCTCTGCACTATTTGTTTACTGCCTGTTTGCACCTTGCACGCCCTGTTACTGTGATGTTAAGTGTACTATATGTTACTATATGTTGCACTGGGGCCATGAAGAAACGCTGTTTCATCTCACATGTATGAAGTCACCTTGAACTGGAAAACTGGATTCTGAAAAAATTACAGAAGAAAAAAAACACACATATTCTGCCCATTTAATTTGTTGTTGTGAACCTGCAGACTCTCTATAAGGATCAGATGTATGTCCTTTTTACTCATAGAATGACAGTCAAGAATTTGTATCTGCTTCTGCGATCAACCTCAGAATATCTCCATTTGGTCATTATTAATATTTTTCATGCACAACAGCATTAAAAGAGCAACAGCAAATACTGTTGTTGTCTGCGTGAGAGTGAACAACAGCTGAATATCAAGAAAAGAACATGAGGAAAGCAGAGTGGAATGCAGGCTGTACCAAAGACAGCTTCAAGGAGGGGAGAGGTGCACAAAAGTGCAAAAAGAATGGTCCACAGGCACACACCCAAACTTGGAACAAAAAAAAACTTAGACAAATACAGAAACACTTTAGCAGACTCCAATAATGCATTTAATTGGCCACAAAAGAAATGCATCAGCAAACTGAAAGTGGCACCTTTACAGCCTCAATTACAAACAAAACACCACTACAACACCTCCCAAGAGACACACAATCTGCCGAAACACTTATGCAAACGTGCAATGCATTTACCCCTCCCCCACACTTACAATCAGACAAGAACAGGGAGACAGAGTGGAAAATTACAGCTGACCGCGGAATGTACCACTGTGAGGCCTGAACGAATCATGGGGGTGGAGAATTTTAAATCTACTGACAATACGAAGCAGGCAAGCTGCAATTCACACTTACTGACACCAAAATCAATCTCGCCATATACACAAATCAGTATTATAAGCAAAAAGAAATGTTCTGATTTGTAAAGTTGTAATGGCACCCCTTATCAGTGATTCATGTTTAGTGAGCTTGCTGTACATTGATTTGACTGTTTTAGAACACTGTAATAATTTAAAGGGCACTGCACGCACGTGAGCAGAGTCTGAATTTATTTGTAAACATGAAGACATGAGAAAACAACTACAACAGTTTGGAAAGCATGTTGCTGTAACCGTGGAAACATTTCCCTGGAGGTTCTCACCAAAGCATCTTTTGTTCTATTTTGTCCTTTGTTCACTTAGAGACACTCACTTGGGGTCTTGTTTTATAAACACAATGTGATAGGGAAACTTCCAAGACTTCCACTTTAAATTCTGCACCTTTGTCTGGGCCGATCGGCCTCAGGAAGTTAACGGAAACCAGTCTGAACCAGTTTAGGCTTGTTAAGCTACTGACACGTTATGGCACGGGATGAATATTCTGGGCACTGGTCTTTTCCATGACCTAATACTGAGTCGTGAATATTGTAGAACTTCAGTATGACCCATATTTTCCAGAAAGATCTGGGACCTAACTAGAAAATACAGTACTTCACTAGAAACTACACATATGCACATACATTCATGCTTTTGTGAATTACAAATAAGCCTTAAATATCTTAATGAAACGGCAAACATCTAGTTTATTGATATTTCTGCATCCAGTAAATCTAACCATAAACACCACACCTCAAAGCCATGCAAAGAATTATGCCTGGAAACTAACTGTGCTGCAAAAATTCCTGCAGACAGCTGCATTGGTGCTGCTGCAGCTACTGGGGGTATTGCAAGGTGAGTGGGCTGCAGCAATGGTGCTGTTGTGCAAAAAGTCTGGCTGCAGATCAGTTCCCCCTCCCCAACAACTTGAGATAAAGGCACTGTTAACATGTTAATGCTCGCCTTTGTTCAAAACCCCTGCATCGTTGCCCCGAGTTGTGCAATCCAGCTGCAAGATGCAATGTGAGGCGGCATAGCGATGCTCTTGAGTGATCCACCTGATTTTCAAAGGCGAATCAGACAATCTAAACATGAAGCAACACAGCCTTAGAAATATAATCCACACATAAAGGAACAGGCTGATTCTCTTGCATTAAGAAACAGTTTCCTCTGTATATCACAATGATGTACACTTCTACGCAAATAATGTTTACAGTCAACAAGAATTCTTCCATCTCCAGTAAGCATTCAACATCCGAGTCCAAATTGATTCCTGTAATGCGAGTAGAAAGTGCTGCACACCCCTCCCCCACCTCAACAGTCAGACAAACAGTCAGGGAGACAGAGTGGAAAATTACAGAGTATGGACTGTACCACTGTGAGAGCTCAGCAGACTGGGGGGGGAGAGACACTGAAACCAGAGGGAGGGAACCTCGCAATCAATTAAGTAACTAATTAGGATCAACCGAGCATTACCAAACGTTTCTACTGAGCAAAGAATCGTAGGGTGTTTTTGGCGCAAAAAAAGAAACAGTTATCAAATAAAACTTAAAAACCTGTTTTTCTACTGGTAAACATGCAATAAGCAGGAGTGTCAAAAAAAGGTGTCAAAGTTAAAGACACGAGTGTTACACGGGTGAGAGGTTCTGCTTCTTTAGATTCTGTAGCAAAAGGGAGCAGTATAAGACAGTCATGGAGCGTCTTCAGAGAACAGAAGGGCACTCCCTGTCTTATATGCGTTTACCACAAAAGACTCCTGCATTCTGCATTCGCCAGGAGGTGGCCTTCTCCAAAATGCTCCTTGGTCGTTTTGCTTAGTTTCCACTGGCTAATTACACACCATCCCGACATTCCACACATGTGAAGATGTTGAATTTCTCGACCTTGCTCATCTTTTAGATTAAGTTAAGGCAACCACTTTGTACAAATATAAGCTCAGGTAAAACATTCAATTCATATCAGAGATTATAGCACAAGATATACTCATTAATAACAGGATAAACTTCCCACGGATTAGCTTTTAGTGTACAGTAACAATTTTGGATGGATGGATGTTTAAACATCATTTCATTCTTTACTCTTAGAGGAGACCCACTTGCCATTACCGATTTTGCAAATCCCCGTTCACAATTCCCAGCATTTGCAACATCCAGTCCTTTTGTGCAGTCAACCAATGAAAACATGAGGCTCATTGAAGTCAACCAATGAAAACATGAAGCTCATTGATTCTATTCAAGTTTGATTTTCTTTACTAACTCCAAGTGCAACTTAGAATTATACCCAACTGCCATACTTGGGCAAGTGCACTGACCTTCAGAACGTTCTGGAATTCCAGTAGCGACCTAGATTTCTGTGAAGTCAAGAACTGACACAACAGATCAGCTACCAATTTAAAACAAGTCTAATTACTCTGAAACTGAATACAGACTTGCAGCCAAATTATGAGCAGTGGCGTTACTATTATACTCTTTAAATAGCCATCCAATCAAAATCAATATTAAAAAGATGCAAAATAAAGGCTTAATAATCCATCTGTTTCTCATACTCAACAGTTAACGCACTGCCAAAAAAGGGTATTAGTATCCTCAGTTGATGGCTTATAATGTGCATGTAACTTTAAATGTCTAAAAAATAGATAAGGACACAAATATTTTGATTGATTAGCTAATTATATCTAAACTATCATGGAAATGCCATCTGTGTTTACAAATACACATTACTCCACAAATATCTGCCGCTGCAGCACTACACAAATAAAGCAGCCAGTTGCCCCTCCATCTTTATCTACCACTTCCTAAAAATGTTTGGAATTCTTTCAGGCAGTGGTACAGCGCACTGTGCTGCATAACCATGACCCTCATCGACGACAACCTTGGCTGCACTACAGTGTTGTTTACTGAAACGACTTTCACTGCAGATGTTAGGCACTGCCCACCCTAGGATTCATTTACATTACTGCTAAAAGTGCGACAGTTCCAACATCTGCCTGACGGATATCTGCCAGAGAAGGGTGTCAAGATGCGTGTGATAAACTAGTCAGCATGCCACCGAGTACCTCCCAAGGAATCTCGTGCCATCGCCAGTCAACAGCAACAATGGGGTTTGTTAGAGGAGCCATCTCTGCATCCCAAAGGCTCCCTGCAAAGGTAACACCTCATAGACACGATTAACTGGAGTACCATGTCAAGGGTGCCTCAATGCTCCTACATAAGAATGTGAAGACTCCACATTCTGGAAACGTATTCAGTGTCCTAAATATCACACCAATGCAAAAGACCACATACATGTTCGCTTTCACTGGAAATTACTAACTCTGGAGATGCTTGAGTTCCATAGCGATTACCCTTATTGCATAACAGATAAAATAGTAGAAGCAAAACCTGAGGCCCCCCCCCCAAAGATGACATCCTTAGGTGTTACAGCAAAAAAAAAAAAAAACTGCCTTTGTCTCCCGCAAGACATGTAACTTTTTGAAATCGGACCATCCTAGCTCGTCCCGATATTTAAACGATGTCCACACAAAATGACAGAACGTCGTCAAGCTTACGCAATGAACTAATTAAGTGTCCTTGTTTGCCTGATAAAAAAAAAATAAATAAATAACCTGTAAAAATGACAATGTTGTCATTTCCCACCCACAGAAGATTCATTCTATCCTTATATAGCATCTGATCACTTGCTGTCCATTTCATAAAGTGGAGAGTACTGATGGTCCCCAGGAACCAGGGCTTCCTGCCACTGCTGAAGCTGCAGGTCTAGTCTGTTATGGGCAACAATAAATTTTGCCAAACATCTCAGCTTTACTTCATGTTTTCCATCCACCTAAGATCTGACGTACAGGTGCTGTCAAGAGCCGTTGTCAGGTACCACTAAAGGGATAGAATGGTCAAGGAGAAACAAGGTCCCCTTACCACTTACACTGAATAAATACCAGCTTCTTGTTCACCATGTTAACCTAGAACAGGGGTGGCAAACTCGATCCATGGAGAGCCGCCATGGGTGCAGGTTTTGGGTATGACCTCTCAATCATCCAATAACAGTGGGCCCCCAGGACTGGAGTTGAGAACCACTGCTTTATTATTGGCTGATTGAGAGGTCATCCCAAAGACCTGCACCCACAGCGGCTCTCCGTGGATCAGGTTCGCCACCCCTGACCTAGAAGGTTCCAGCAAGATAAGCAGTTTACTTCAGTCTGACAAATCCACACCATGGCACCACCACCCCTGCCATGCACACAGACGACGCTAGGGCTGTCTAGAGGCCCTTAAGAGTCTACACTGTCGGTAACGATGTACCCTACACTGTAGCTTGACCCCTGCAGTTTCATTTCTGGGGAGGTGCGCATCAGGCTATGCTTCAGAGTATGCAGCTGCGTAGTACCGAGGTCATAGATGCTATGCAGAAGAATTAATCAGCCATAGGGGTCAAATCATCGCCAGCTATGCAACACCTCAACCTCCCCGCTACATTTCCACAGTCGTCACCTAAATACCAGGCTTCACAAAAATAAACATGTATATCTCTCACAGATCCAAGTGTGCATACCTTTCATAACCTTTTGTTTCATACCTCTACAGTTTCATACATCATACATTAAAGTTAATAATTACAGAACTCAACTGCCTCCAGAGCAAAACTGAAAAACCGAACACTGACCAAATAGTTCTGAGGCTTAAAAAGGAGGGATTTATCTGGTGGGTTGTCTGGGATTCTGCATCATTCAAAGATTCCCACCACATGTATAATTGGGCAGTAATTGGAAGCGCAATAGAGCTGCTTGACAGTCATGTGTCTGTAATGTGCCATTTGCCTCACTTGTAAAAGCATCTGATAAACAAACCAAATGTAAAGTAAATGTAAATGAAAGGCTGCTGTCCTGTGATGTGCCACAAAACAACAGTGGAGCAAACTGCCCAAAACAGCATTGGGACACTCTGCAACCTCATCAAATTCATCAAACACTTCTTCACCATTCCTGCTTCACATAAGATTTATGTTGAACCTGCACAATTACATGTGTGTGATATGTAAAACTGCACAGAAAGTTATTTGTTGGCAACAGACAAATGGTTGTAATGGCAATAAATCTGACTTGGCTCCCCCAAACAGATACATTACCAGCAGCTGTACCTGATTTTGAAATTAAGTGACTGGGGACAAACTGATGTTGAGTGTGATTCTCCCCTACAGTACAATTACAGGTGTGCATTCTGATGTCTGCACAGATGTTAACTTTTTTTCTTATACAGTAAAAAGAATCTCTGCTTGGCAATTTTTGACATGTCTAAGTAAAATTCAGGCCGGCCAGATGGTCATTGCTTTCTAAAAAGCTGGATGAAGTCACACATTATATCAGACAGAAATGACTGAAAATGAGATAAAACTATCAAGAATGACATTAATGTCTAGTTGCAATGTACTTTCCTAACTACTTTCATTCATTTACTTCAATAACGTTTGAACAGGTTGTTTTCCCGCAACTTCTGCAAATGCTACAATAATCTTTATACGAGGCAAAATAAAAAATACAAGTGATGAAACACAAATATTAATGCACAGCTTAAAATAAATTCTTATTGTGACAAAAGAACAATGAAAATCAACCACAAAAAACTTTCTAACACTAGGCCTAAAGCATTTAAACCCCGATTTAACTTATAACCATATATATTATAAAGTGATTCAATTATTTCCTTCAATAAACCCTTCGCATACTGATAAAAACAGCGAAACACAATAATCAACAGAAGCCGTCAAAAGCACACTAAAGCATAGTGATAAACACATTAAACTAACCCGAAAATCAAATTGTCAATAACACCATTAACATGTACACATAACCTGCCAAAAATGTTATTGTAATCGATCATACAAAATAAATGAAGCAAACGGAAAAACATACCTTTCTTTTCAGATTTCCAAAGCCGAAAAGTGTGAATAATCCAGTTGTAAAATCGTAAAACACTGTAGAAATGTTTTGCCAAAATTAGATGTTTAGAGTTTGTGCATTTGTGCTTTCAGTCAGCCATTAAGGCGCCTGCTATGTCGGTTATTCGGTCGGTAACTTGATCAGTTAATCAGTCTGTTACTCAAGTCAGTTGACTGCGTAGACAATGACCCGAGGGTGACACGAGGAGCTCCGCACAATCACACGCACCGGGAGTACAGCGCGAGCAGGCCCGTCTGTGAGCGCACTCCTGTTTCAGACAGCCAACAGTCACACTCACACTCTCTCTCGCTCCCGCACCAAGCAGTAAAGCGGAAGGGGGCGGGGCCAAGGGAGGAGCAAAATACCCGTTGCAGATCGACGTTCTGAAAAACGCGAAACTTTACACAATACATATCGCTTACACATCTGTTTAAAATATAAATAGAGCGCAAATATGTACCATTTTAAAGATCAGTTCAGTCGAATTATAAAACGCATTCATATGAAAATTCTCGAAGAAACGGCAAGCCCCAGTCAAAAAATGTGATAATTATTATTTAAACTCAACTATTAAATTGTATTAAGAGTTACAGATAAATATTACATCTTACTTGATCTTCAACAGATTCGGCAGTGTGACTCTTCGAATCTTCTATTCAGCTACATAACGCTTCCTGTTTTCAAGTCTCTTAACAGACTCCTCCCAATGTAACCAAGCACACAGCCTTCAGTGTTAACAGCACGCCTGTGAGCACAGTCTGTGAGTGCGTGTCTACGTCTATAGAGCTGTATATATGCATTATATCTCTAAGCCTTCCAACCCTTTTTCAATTATACATTATAATCGCATTTTAAAAAGCGACTTTCTGAGATGAAGTATTGCGCAGATTTGCCATGTCTCCACACACTGTTACATAAATGTGTCCAGACCTTATCCACCATGGTAATTCTTGTCTCACTGTTCAGAAAATCAAACAAATATTGTGTAATATTAATTTCACAAATGATTTTCACTCTTACTTCAGATACTCCAGATCACGCCACGGCAGCGAGTCTCCACCCCCCCCGTCACGTTTTTGTGAAGACTGGTGAAAATGCTCTTGGAGAAAACGAACCGAAAGGTGAAAGAATACAACACTGCACAAAGGGAAACGGGAAGGAGGGGGGGGGGTGCGTTAGGATATGGTGAGTGAGTGCACCAAAGCTCTAGGGTACAGGAAGGCAGGGGGGAGGGGTAGAGAAAAAAAACAGTGGGAGGAGCCAATGCAGCGCTATGGCACATGCCAGACTACTGAAACCCCCACGAGACATGAACAGTGCTATGCGCTATTGTTCCTCACGACTCTGAGTAGCAGCCCTTACACCTTAAAATATGCCACGTGAGCTGCACCATTCAGTCTCTTTCCCCTGCATTCTTGATCAATAAATTCCTGTAGCACACTCGCTTCTCCTAAAGTATCCAGTTGGTGACACCATCAATATTATGTCACACCAGATTTGTATTAAAAACAACACAGAAAGCTTTAAGTTTTACTCCGTAACCTGCTTGTTAACCTTAAGTAATCAAGGCATTATGTGTTTCTCTAGGATACAGCAGTAGCCCATGTTTTGGGATTGCAACAGTGAAACTTCATTTCACTGTTTGTGCATAAATTAATCCTGATGATTCTTCCATGCAGCAGATTTTCATGCCAGCTATAATATTTGAATCTGAATGACCAATCAGTGACAAGGCTAACTTCTGGACTGGTCGACGTGCGTTATGACGCCTCTGTGATCCACTCTCCCGGCTGAGAATTCTAATAATTCTGTCAAAGTTTTGTCAAAAAGAGGCAAAAATCACATTCACACAAATTTGCCAAAAATTGAATCTTAAAACACAGAAAAGGAAAACCTCACACCAGGTCATTATTCAAGACCCGCCCCAGTCAGCCATTTTGTGCTCCTGTCTTGCTGTTGTTAGTCAGAAGCAAGCTATACTGCACCTAAAATGTCTGCTAGTGATTCTGCAGTACCAGCACTCACCCATAGAGGTCCTTCGAACAGACACACACAAAAAACAAAAGATACATATAATGTATATTATATATAAATATCATTTGAACATGTTCCTGTGCATCCAGAAGGCCAGTTGTTTACATCATCAAGCATGCCATCAAACCCAGCACAGCTTTCAAAACTCCAGTGAAAGGCACTATGCCAAATGAACCTCAATTTTGATTTGCTCTAGCAAGCATAATAAATACACAAGCAACACAATGTGTATTTTCACACAGCTCTTCCTTTTTCCTGCCTATACATTCTGTATCCTGTTTGGTGGACTATAAAACACATGTAAAATGGAAATGGTTGTTTTCCCTGCCACAAGAATCAAGAGGGATTATACACTGCAGACACACAGCAGTGAAGAGCTTTGCATTATCTCCCACTTCAGAGATAATAGACTCCTCAATCCGTATGTTAATCTAACTGCATGCTGTGACTGAGGGAGTGAGCAGGAGTGAGACAGGAAGGTGTGAGGACTGGGCAGCGTGAGACAGAGTGGGAAGGGGAGTGGGGGAGGAGGAGCACACAGAGCAAGTCAACAGAGCTGTGCAAGAGATGGGGGAGGGTTGGCCGTGAGGCACAGACAAAGGGGCGGAGCCTGTGCACTGCACAAGCAACCCAGTTCTCTCAAACGCTTCCTTCAGCCAACAAGCCTGTCTTACACCACAGACGGGAGGGAATTGCAGCGTATGCCACAATGTTCTTGTGTGCCATATGTACAGTTTTGTATACAATAATCTGTTACAATAAAATTAAAATATACTTACTATCACTTTATACATTCACATTTCAGGAAAATTTGAATTTTTACTCTATTTTGTGTATGTAATACACTGGGGTTTCTTGAGGAAAGGCAGCAGACAGATATCGGTGTTTATAAACTGCTATCACAGAACAGTGTAAAAGACAGTGAGTGGTATTGTGGGACACTGGGAAGCCATTTGCATTTGGAGTCAATGCCAGCTACCTCAAAGCATTCTCTCCACACCGAAAACGTCTCTTGTTCCTCTGCAGTTCCTCCCTTGAACTACAGAGGTGCCCTTAAAGAAAGCAGCAAAATAATCATGATGGTACACCTGCATGTCCCTAGAAATAGATAAACCCCACATCCTGAAGCAAAGAGCTTCAAGCTGCTCATTAGTTGATCACATGGTACAGTATTTCCCTTTAATGTGGGAAGCAATAAACTGTCACCCCACTCAGGGGACTATTGCGCCATCACTGCAGATTCAATGACTGCTTTTATTGCTGGCATGCAGACAAAACAGAATTCGGAAGTGAAGAGTGCCCCATGATAAGATACACAGAAGGCTACACACAGCTCACTCTCTGCAGAAAAACATACAGCAAATGCAGCTCCAGTATTAGCAAAGAACCAACGCCCCCCAGCCGTACAAGCAGCAGCAGGGGACGGGGCTGAAGCGTAAATTGCTGACTAGCTGGCGGGTGCTAGCAATATTAGATATTAAGCCCTCCCCTATTTGACAAGGCTTTACTGCATTATAAAAAAAAAACGAGAACAAAGAGTCATTCCTGCAAACTGTAATGAAGAAACACACTTAACAGATCCGAAGCACCAGCAAGTCTCATGGTTACTGCGGAAAATACGACTCAAGGCATTCAAGAAAGCCAGATCAACAATATGGTGCATTCGGCTTCAGCTACTGCAGTCATGTTCTGAAATGAATTATGTAAAACAGAGCATAATTTAGTCAAATTAGACAAAGAAGTGCTATTTCACAGTGCATATAAAAAGAAAAAAGTGCTTTGCTGCTAAATGTCAGCTGCGAAAGTGCCGTTTCCCCAATTAAGCCAACAAATGGGTAGAAAGAAGCACTTCAAATTATTTTTGCAAAAAAAAAGACAATCTACCGATACGATAAACTTGAGTGACCTTAGTCTACAGATATGATAAAGTTCTGATTTTAAAAGGCACTAAATCATCCACCCGCTTATCCGGTGTTAGGTCAAAGTGAACCTGGAGCCTATCTCTGCGAGCACAGGAACACCCTGCACAGGATGCCAAGCAATTCAGAACTATCAAGAGTTTGTTATACTGTGTATTTCATGGCTATTCTGTGTTGTTCATATCTCTGAATATACACAATAAAAATATTTGATCAAAAAAAAAAAAAAAAAAGAGTTTGTTATACAGAAGTAAAAACTGCACATAAAGGTACTAAAAACAAAAAAAACTCTTCTTTTGAAAAATTTCTTGCAGCCTGTACAGTACGTCTTAACTAACTCAAAATAGCACCCTTCCCCCAGAGACACAGTTTGAGAGGGTGCAGAAACACATTTTGCATCTGAAAACACAAGGTGATGTTATGTCCACCTGGACACATGAGACAACGGATAGTGAGACACCACTGTTTGCTGTACCTTCTCAAGGACTCTACCTTCTGGCTCAGGGTTTTAATGTACTTACAGTATATGCATGCAAACACACAGAACAGAAACATGGAATTAGTGGTGCAACGGTACATGTAAAAGAATCTGAAATATGCGTAGTTATACCTCTGGTGCTGTTCTATATCTGGTTTAAGTGATGATGTCACAACACTTTAATATCCATGCCATACACAAATATGCTAATAATGTGTTACAATCACATGAAATATCCATTATGTTTAACAGTCCCGATTCACATTCATTCAGTTTTAATTCCTAAGGCTGTGACAATCTACTGTGGTTTTCCATAACCAATATGCAGGCACAACAAATTCCCGTAAAGAAAAACAATAATCCTTCGCTTAGCTGGTTAGGTAGCTAGTATAGTCAAAAGGTATTGACATTTTCTGAGGAAATAGAGGGTGCAAGTAATGTTAACAAAATTACCCCAAAAAATCATTCAGCTACACATACAATTTTTGATTTAGAAAAAAGATTTATTGTTAAGAACCATCCATCCATTGTGTACTGCTTTTCTGGGCCCAGTTCACAGAGCAATCTGAGCAGAGATTCCCAGACCTCCCTCTTCCCAGCCACCTCTTCCAGTTATTCTGGGGTAATACTAAGGAGTTCCCAGGTCAGCCGAAAAATACAATCTCTCCTGGGTCTGCTCCAGGTCTCCTTCTGGTTGGACATGCCCAGAGCACTTTCCAAGATATCCTGGAGTTATCCTAGATGCCTGAACCACTGCAGCCATCTCCTTAAAATGCTGAAGAGCAATGGCTCAACCTTCCCAGGTGTCCAAGCTCCTCGCCTTATCTCTAAGATTGAGCCCAGACACCCTGCCAAGGAAGCTCATTTTTGCCGCTTGTATCTGTGATCTAATTTTTTCAGTCACTACCCAGAGCCATTATAGTTGAAGGTAGGAACATATATTGCCTGGTAAATCAACTGGCTTCACCTACAGCTCAGCTCTCTCTTCATCAAGCA